CGCGGACCTCACTAATCGTGTGTGTCCCACTACTGGTTCACGGCTACTGTCTGTGTGTGTGTGTGTGTACTCACCTAGTTGTGCTTGAGGGGGGTTAAGCTCTGGCTCTTTGATCTCGCCTCTCAACCGTCAATCAACTGATGTACAGATTCCTGAGCCTACTGGGCTCTATCATATTATATATGAAACTGTGTTTGGAGTCAGCCTCCACCACATCACTGTCTAATGCAATCCATCTGTTAACTATTCTGACACTAAAAAGTGCTTTCTAACATCCCTGTGGTTCATTTGGGTACACAGTCTCCACCTGTGTCCTTTTGTTCGCGTACTACCCGTGTTAAACAATTTATCCATATCTGTCCTTTCAATTCCTCTTGAGATTTTTGTAGGTAGTGATTATGTATCCCCTTACTCTTCTGTCTTCCAGTGTCGTGAAGTGCACTTCACGCAGCTTTCCTCGTAACTCATTCCTCTTAGTTTTGAGACAAGCCTAGTGGCATACCTCTGAAATTTTTCAAGCTTCGTCTTGTGCTTGACAAAGTACTGGCTCCATGCTGGGCCACATTCCTTACACAGGTTCCTGAAGTCTGTTCTGATGTTAGCCAGCCTCGCGCCTACCGCAGATGTAATCCTATTTATGTGGGCTTCAGGAGAAAGGTTTGGTGTGATATCAACTCCTAGATCTTTCTCTCTGTTCGTTTCATGAAGTAATTCATCTCCCATTCTATATCCTGTGTCTGGCCTCCTGTTTCCACCGCCTAGTTTCATTACCTTACATTTACTCGGGTACTTTACTTTAGTAGCCATTTGTTGGACCATTTATAAAGTCTGTCTGGGTCATCTTGTAGTCTCATACTATCTTTCTCTGTTTCAATCCTCCTCATAATTTTTGCATCATCAGCAAACAATGAGAGGAACTATTCTATACCCTCTGGGAGATCATTTACATATATCAGAAACTGCATAGGTCCAAGGACTGAACCCTGTGGGACTCCACTGGTGACACCTCGCCAATATGAGACCTCACCCCTCACAGTGACTCGCTGTCTTCTGTTGCTCAGGTACTCCCTTATAGAATGGAGTACCTTTCCTTTCACTCCTGCCTGCATCTCCAGCTTTTGCACTAGCCTCTTGTGTGGTACTGTGTCAAAGGCTTTCTTGCAATCCAAAAACATGCAGTCTGCCTGTCCCTTTCCTTCTTGCCTCATTTTTGTTGACTTGTGGTTGAATTCAATTAATCCTGTGAGGCAGAACTTGCCATCCCTGAATCCATGTTGATGCTTTGTTTCAAAGTTCATTCACTCCAGATGTTCCACTAGCTTTTTGCGCACAATATTCTCCATCAGCTTGCTTGGAATGCAAGTTACGGACTCTGGACTGTAGTTCAGTGCCTCTTGTCCATCCCATTTCTTGTATATCGGGACTACATTTCCCGTCTTCCAAATTTTTGGCAGTTCCCCTGTTACCAGTGATTTGTTATACACTATGGAGAGTTGCAGGCACAGTACTTCTGCTCCTTCCTTTAGTATCCAAGGGGAGATTCCATCTAGGCCTATAGCCTTTGTCACATCCAACTCTAGCAAAAGCTTCCTTACATCCCACTGGTAATCTCAAACTCTTCTAGTAGTGCCTGGTTAACTATTCCCTCTCTTATATCTGGAACTTCCCCTTGTTCTAATGTGAAGACCTCCTGGAATTTCTTATTCAGTTCCTCGCAGACTTCCTTGTCGTTTGTAGTGAATCTGTCGGCCCCTATCCTTAATCTCATTACCTGTTCCTTTACTGATGTTTTTCTCCTGATGTGGCTGTGCAGCAATTTAGGTTGAGTCTTTGCCTTGCTTGCGATGTCATTTTCGTATTGTCTTTCTGCCTTTCTTCTCAACCTGACATATTCATTCCTGGCACTCTGGTATCTTTCTCTGCTCTCAAGTGTCCTGTTATTTCTATCGTTTCTCCAGGCCATTTTACTCTGTTTCTTAGCTAGCCTACATCTCTGATTAAACCATGTGTTTCTCAACTGCATTTCGTTGTTCTCATTTTCGACCGGAACAAACTTGACTGCTACCTCCTTACACTTCTGCGTGATTTATTCTATTATGTCTTGGTCCGTCTTTTCACTGAGCTCTGTTTCCCATGTTATATCTGTTAGGAATTTGCATATCTCCTCATAGTTTCCCTTTCGGAATGCCAGCCTTTTGTTTTCAGTTCCCCTCCTTGAGTTCATTAACTCTTCTTCGACCAGATACTCAATCGTCAGTACACTGTGGTCGCTCATTCCAACTGGGATCTCGAAACCGATTTCCCTTAAGTCGGAGTCATTCAGAGTGAAGACCAGGTCGAGTCTCGCTAGTTCATCGTTTCTTCTCATTCTAGTTGATTCCCCTGACATGCTGGCTTGAAAATTTTCTTGTCGCCACTTCCAATAGTTTCGCTCTCCATTTATACTCACCTCCATGTGTTTCCTTGTTCTCCCAGTCTATTCTTCCATGATTGATGTAGTCCATGGTGAGCAGACGGATCTGTTTCTATAGGCAGCAGAGGCGGCCCTCTCAGTTATAGTGTTAAATGCCATGTTGTTGTTGTCATATTCTTGCCTGAGTCTTCTGTCGTTTGGTGGAGTGTTATATATCACTGCTACTACTACTCTTTGTTCTCCCATTGTCATGTTGCCTATTATGTAGTCTCTGAATCCTTCGCAGCCCGGGATAACCATCTCCATGAAACTCCATTCCTTTCTCATTAGTAGGGCCACTCTGCCACTCGGCCTCTTCTGCCCTCTCTTTCCTTATTACAGTGTAGTCCTGGGGAAACACCGCATTCATTATGATTTCTAAGAGTTTTGTTTCAGTGAGCCCAATGATGTCTGGGTTTGCTTCTTCTGCTCTGTTCACATGCTTTGCTTGTAATCTCATCTATGTTTGAGTACATCAGCTTGATGCTGCCTCTTGTCTGTCCTTTCTCAGTTTCTATTGATTTCCCCCAAAGCAGGGAAACAGGGAGGGCCCTGGATGGGAAGGCCTAGGAAGGGTACCTGGGTGATCTGGAGTGTGAGAAGGCTGGGAGGATCTGGTATGGGGAGAGTGGTGAAGGAGGGAGGGGGCATGGGCGGCAGGAGAGGAGGGGGGGCAGAAGAGAAGGCAGGGCTTGGGGGTGGGGGAAGGGGAGGATTAGGTGGGTAAAGAAGAAGGGAAGGCTTAGTGGAGTAGGGGAGAAGGGAGGGCTTAGGGGGTTGGGGGGGATTGGATGGTTTGGGAGGGTGGGGGAGAATGGAGGGATTGGGATGAAGGAGAAGGGAGGGCGTGGGGAAGACGAGAGGGCGTGCGTAAGAAGGGAGGGCTTAGGGGGGGGGCGGGGGAGATTTTGTACAAGGGAGGGTTTGGGGGGTGGGGAGAAAGGGAGGTCCTGGGGAGAGAGGGAGTGCGGGGGAGGGTGCCCTAGGTGTGCACTTAGTGGGGGTCTGGCAGGGGTTAGGGCAGGTACACCTTCTATTGGATGGAAGGTGGCTGTTGAACTGCTTGTGGAGGGTTCCTCATTCCCCTCTAGGATTGTAGGGTTCGGGGTTGTAGTTCTTAGACTCCTTTATTTCTTCCTGCACTCCATCCTCATGACTGCTGCCCTCATTCTCTCGTCCCTTGTCATATCCCTTTGCAGGAAAACTTTTTTGAACCTCAGTACATTTACTATTCCACTTTTCCTTGCTAACAGATCCTCTTTTGTGTTCTCACTCATGAATACCACCTTTATCAATCAGTCTCTGTCCTTGTTGTACTGTCCAATCCCGAAGACATTTTCAATAATCTGTTCAGCCCTCTCCATCTTTACCCCTTTAAGGATCTCGTTAAAGTCGTTTTTGTCCTTATCTCTCCACTCTGCAGGACTGGTTCCTTTTTGCTCCCTAATGCCTTCTAATACTACTGCTCTTTTTTGCTCTATCAGCCAGCTAGTACATGTAGCTGCTTCTTGAGAAGAAGCCACTTCCATGGTAACTGTGTTGTAAAAAAAAAAATGACTGTGTGGGCTTTTATGTGTATGTCCTGATGTGTGTGCTTTTGTAAACATGTTGTTGAGTGAGTGTGTGTTTTTGTGTGAATATGTGTGTGTGTGTGTGTGGTGTTTTGAGTGTATGGGCGTTTTTTCTGTTTGTTTATTAGTTTGTTACTTGGATTTTGACTTTGGTTGTTTGATCCAAAGTTTTTATTTTCAATCAACTGGTGCACAAGTTCCTTAGACTGTTTGATTCTATCATACCTACACAAGGAAGTGTGTGAATGCAGTCCGTCGTCACTCTCCACCGCCTGTCTTATGACTCTCTAAACCCAGCTCACTGTTCTTTTTGGTGAGCGAACCATCGAACGCTTGATGACTTGTTATATATTTGTTAACTTTTCAGACACTGAAAAGATTAGTTATAATGTATCATTTCCAATGCCCCATTAGAGAACTCAGTCCCACTTGTGTACCTCATGATATAGTACTACTGATGCTAATGAGTCTGTCCTCGTCTTCTCTGTTTATTCCTCTCAGAATTAAACGTGGTAAACATGTCACCCCTAATTCTTGTTTTTTTTTCTACAAAGATGTTTAATTCCATTAGTCTTTTCTCGTAACTCATACCTCATAGTTCTACGAGTTGTCTGGTGGTTTACCTATGAACTGTTTCCAATTTCATCTTGCATTTGGCTAGATAAGAACTGTAGGCTCGAGCTGCATATTCTTCGATTTGTCTGACTTATGTGATGTACAAGTTTCTGACTTTGTGTCTCCTTACACAAATTTCGAAAGGCCGATTTTAAGTTGGCCAACCAAGCATGGGACACTAATGATGTAACTGTTTCATGAGGGATTCAGGCGACAAGCTTGATTTGATATCAACTTGCAGGTGCAAGGTCTACTCGATTCTTGAAGGATTTCCTCTCCCATTTGGTACCTATTTTTCAAGCTCCTGTTTTAAAACATTATTATGTGAGGATTTTTTCTTTCCGTAATAAATAGTTTTACCTTCTTCCAGTTGCTGAAGAATCGTCATCCAACTGCCGTAGATCATGGCGCCCAAAACGTTGATCTGGAAGGTTATTATATTGGCAGCTGCTTGTACAGGTAATATATATATGCATCAGCATTGTTTTCAGATATTAATCTTAATGAGATTGATCAAGTTTTTGTGATTACGACAAAGACAATGATTACATGCATTTCATATATATATATATATATATATATATATATATATATATATATATATATATATATATATATATATATATATATATATATATAGACATAGATATATATATATATATATATATATATATATATATATATATATATATATATATATATATATATATATATATAAGACATATATATATAGACATATATATATATACATATATATATATATATATATATATATATATATATATATATATATATATATATATATATATATGCGCGGAAAATCCACAGAGAAATATGAAATGAGGTGAACGTTTCGGCTTGTTAAAGCCTTTGTCAACACCAGACTGACTAAGGAGAAGGGAGAAGGGGAGGATATATAGGCCGACACCTGACCAACCCAACCCTAGGGAAAGAATTAGCCAAAAACAGGTATAGCTTAGCTTAGAATGGTCAAAGAGGATTAAGCGGTCAGAGAATAAGGATTAAAGATTAAAGAAAAGCCTCATGAACACGCAATATATGAATATAAAATTATAATGAGACATTGTAAGCCTCTCTAGAGTTTTTTCTTAAACTGTTGTGCAATATTATAACTTAAAAACGGATCAAGTTTGTACATTCCAGTACTAACATTAAGAAGATTTGGACACTGACTGATTAGAGCAGACTCAATTAAATTCCGTTCCACGAAATCCCCACAATTGGTAATGCTTTTTGCCCCATTCCAGTTAATATTGTGATCGCTTAAACTCGTATGTAGATACAATGCACTAGACGTTTGGGCAGTTCTAATACTATAAGCATGTTGTGACAACCGCAATTGTAAGGACTTTCCTGTTTGTCCAAGGTACACAGAATCACAATCATTGCAGGGAATCGAATACACACAACCTGCTGTATCAGGGGAGTTTTTTATTAAATGGATTTGATCGTACTATTAGTGAACACCAAATTTATATTAAGTTTCTTAAAAATCAGAGACAATTTTTCAAGTCCATTCGCATAAGGTACCATCAATGAGTTAATAATTTCTGGTTTCGCCTTAGGGACGTAACTTAACAATTCTGTTCCTAATTGTCCAAGTCGATTTGTTCATGCGTTCAAAAATCTCAAAAATGATAGTTCATTACATATTACCAAGGCTGATAAGTCAAATGCAGTAGTTATTATGAATAAAGATGACTATGTCCGAAAAATGGAGTTACTCCTGGAAGACAGGGATACTTATCTATTGATTAATAGAGATCCTACTGAAAAAGTGATTGCACATTTTAACAAAACTCTTAAAACTGTGTGTAAAGGCGATAAAGAGTTGGTATCTAGGCTTACAAGTCGATCCCCCTCTCTTCCTTACATGTATGGTCTTGTAAAAACTCGTAAGCCATATAATCCGGCAAGGCCGATTATTAGTTCAGTTGGTTCGGCGGCTTATAAACTCTCTAAGTGGTTAGTCAAAGTTTTGTCCCCTATAGTTGGTACTATTTCCAACTCACACTTGACTAACAATGTGGACTTAGTTAATAAGCTATCCACACTGAATTTAAATTTTGATTTTACACTAATAAGTTTCGATGTAACCTCTTTATTCACTAAAGTACCTGTTGATGATCTGTTAGAATTTCTACGTGAGGAACTGCCTAAATATAATTTGAGCTTGCAGACCAATAAAGTATTGGAACTTATCATATTGTGTATAAAAGACAATTATTTTAGTTTTAATAGAAAATTTTTCAAACAAACATTTGGAATGGCGATGGGCAATCCCCTTTCCCCAGTTTTAAGCAATTTGTATATGAAATTCTTCGAAACAAAAATCTTATCCAGGATTATCCCGGCTAATGTAGTTTGGTTTAGGTATGTTGATGATATTTTGTGCTTATGGCCGTGCGACAAAGACCAGATGAAAGTTCTTAATGAACTCAATTCTTTGGTACCTTCAATAAAATTCACTTGTGAGACTGAGGAGAATGGTACTCTTCCGTTTTTGGACATTTTGATTCATAGAGTCACTAGAAAGTTCAAATTTAATGTGTATAGGAAACCTACCATCGTGGGGTCGTATGTTCATTTTTATTCGAATCATCATAGTAAAGTTAAACAGGCAGTATTTTCAGGAATGTTTCTACGAGCTTTGAGTTTTATGCTCAGGGGTATGCAGCCCTGCAGCTCAGGGGTAAACTCAGGGGTATGCAGCCCTGAGTTTTTTGATGAAGAGATTGCTAAAATATATGAAATTGGGAAGAGTTTACAATATCCTAAGAGGTTTTTGGATTTCTCGTTTGAACAAGCCAAGCGTACGTTTTATAATCACGTCCCTAAAGCGAAACCAGAAATTATTATCTCATTGATGGTACCTTATGCGAATGGACTTGAAAAATTGTCTCTGATTTTTAAGAAACTTAATATAAATTTGGTGTTCACTAATAGTACGATCAAATCCAATTTAATAAAAAACTCCCCTGATACAGCAGGTTGTGTGTATTCGATTCCCTGCAATGATTATGATTCTGTGTACCTTGGACAAACAGGAAAGTCCTTACAATTGCGGTTGTCACAATATGCTTGTAGTATTAGAACTGCCCAAACGTCTAATGCATTGTATCTACATACGAGTTTATGCAATCACAATATTAACTGGAATGGGGCAAAGAGCATTACCAATTGTGGGGATTTCGTGGAACGGAATTTAATTGAGTCTGCTCTAATCAGTCAGTGTCCAAATCTTCTTAATGTTAGTACTGGAATGTACAAACTTGATCGATTTTTAAGTTATAATATTGCACAACAGTTTAAGAAAAAACTCTAGAGAGGCTTACAATGTCTCATTATAATTTTATATTCATATATTGCGTGTTCATGAGGCTTTTCTTTAATCTTTAATCCTTATTCTCTGACCGCTTAATCCTCTTTGACCATTCTAAGCTAAGCTATACCTGTTTTTGATTAATTCTTTCCCTAGGGTTGGGTTGGTCAGGTGTCGGCCTATATATCCACCCCCTTCTCCCTTCTCCTTTAGTCAGTCTGGTGTTGACAAAGGCTTTAACAAGCCGAAACGTTCACCTCATTTCATATTTCTCTGTGGATTTTCCGCATAAAATGATCAGTGTTTTGTTATCGTCAATTTATATATATATATATATATATATATATATATATATATATATATATAATATATATATATATATATATATATATATATATATATATATATATATATATATATATATATATTGGTGTATACTGGCAGCAGGTTTTCTTTCAAACATGTTTCATTGAATATGACCGCATATTCTGTATTTATTATTTTCTGGTTTAGGGCTTCTATCCCTCTAACTATTTTCTTAGCATCAGGGCTTAATTGAAATAGGAGTTCTCCAAAACTCATTTTCGTACTTTTAAGGTGAAGAAAAGAAGTGATTTACTATAGAGTGTATTACACTTATTTGTATAATTTGCACGACGTTTCGAACCTCCATGGTTCATTCTCAAGTGAACAGATCTTACAATACTAGTTGATTTTATACCCGCATTAGGTCAGGTGATAATACAATGAAGGTGAAAACATGGGGAGATACATAAGGGATAAACATAGGGGCTGCAGAAGGCGTATTGGCCCATACGAGGCATCTCCTATCTAAACACAAAGATTAATCCAGTGTAATTGGCCTGTTATGTTGGACATTGTCTTCTGTGTTGGCATCGATATGTTCTTGTCTTGTCCTTACTCTCATGGTGGGTAGAGTAAATAGTTCCGTGATTTGGGTGTTCATGGTAGGTCGCTCTATTCTTATGTGAATTGCCTCAAGAATTTGTAATCTTCTTGAATCTTGGGTTTTGTTTATTATGCAAGTATTCTTGTTCAACATTTCTCTTGTTAGAGTAATGTCATGGGCTTGTCTCATGTGATTCCTAGGGGCACCAGATTGAAGATGGCATGTCAAACGCCTCGTCAGCTTGGTCGACGTCATACCTATGTACTTACATTGAAGGTTACATCCTTCGTGGGGGCAAGTGTACATGTATACAACGCTTGACTGCTGTAGAGGGTTCTCCGTCGGCTTCGGGCTGTTTTTGATAAGGAGTTCGGAAGTCTTCTTGGTTTTGTAGAATATTATCAGGTTTATGTTTTGGTTAGGAGTAGTGCTTTTTACTCCTTTACGGATTATTTCTTTCATTATTCTTTCCTCTTTTATATGTTCACTGTGCATGGTTGATTTGTAATATAATTTTATTACAAAAGTCTACAAAACCAAGAAGACTTCCGAACTCCTTATCAAAAACAGCCCGAAGCCGACGGAGAACCCTCTACAGCAGTCAAGCGTTGTATACATGTACACTTGAAAAATTGTCTCTGATTTTTAAGAAACTTAATATAAATTTGGTGTTCACTAATAGTACGATCAAATCCAATTTAATAAAAAACTCCCCTGATACAGCAGGTTGTGTGTATTCGATTCCCTGCAATGATTGTGATTCTGTGTACCTTGGACAAACAGGAAAGTCCTTACAATTGCGGTTGTCACAATATGCTTGTAGTATTAGAACTGCCCAAACGTCTAATGCATTGTATCTACATACGAGTTTAAGCGATCACAATATTAACTGGAATGGGGCAAAAAGCATTACCAATTATATATATATATATATATATATATATATATATATATATATATCATTGAATATGACCGCATATTCTGTATTTATTATTTTCTGGTTTAGGGCTTCTATCCCTCTAACTATTTTCTTAGCATCAGGGCTTAATTGAAATAGGAGTTCTCCAAAACTCATTTTCGTACTTTTAAGGTGAAGAAAAGAAGTGATTTACTATAGAGTGTATTACACTTATTTGTATAATTTGCACGACGTTTCGAACCTCCATGGTTCATTCTCAAGTGAACAGATCTTACAATACTAGTTGA